CACCAAACCAGTGAAATTGAAAGACACATCATTACATAAGTAGTAATTAAATGATTATCAATAATTATCGAGGTTTAAATTATTGACTTATTCAATAAATCAATCATGGATTGATTAAAGTTAGACATTAACACCGTTGGATGACGGTCCAGTCGTTTGGAGGTTAAGAGTTTGCACACGAAATCAGTAGGTTCTGGTTCGAATCTTGTTGGGCGGGATGGTGGACGTGCATTGCGAAGGAGTAACATACTAAGACGAAATGGCTGTCCAGTGCTTCCGGATTTTCCATATTGGTCTAGACTTAATTAGTTCATGAATTCAATTGATAAACCGACGAGTTCTTGAATACAACGGTGAATTAGCTCTTCTTCACATCAATAAATGAATTTGATCTAACTGATGTTATTAAGAGAAAATCCTTGTTTTCAGAATATTGTTTTTTAACTGATTTTATAGTAAATAAGCTAGATTTAACAATTTGCTTAGTAGAAATAAAAAACGGTCTTGTTTTATTTGAGTAGTAAACATTCGATACTTTTAGTCACCGGCATTCCAATTCTGTTCTAATTTATAAAAAAAACATCATTATTCAAAGATGGATAGTGGCTAGCAGTGGAATACAGTAAGGCGCATGTTTCGTCCTATTTAGGACTCGTTAACTAGATGTACCTGCATTTCAGAAATGATGCTTATTCTGGGACTTGAACTCAGTACCGTTCGCTTCAAACGTCATCACGTTTTGAAAAGAGACAAGTAAACAACATCAAGTGAATTTAAAACATCATTATTCAGTTTGAACAAAAGTATAAGAAATATTACTCGATTATTTGATAGATGATTAGTTAGTTAGTTACTGAAGTTAAAAGATTTACTGTCTATTATTATCATAAATCAATATTACAAGGTCAAGTGATTGATTTAGTAAACTGTTGAGTTAAAAATTTGAATTGGATTTTTAGTTATCTGTATTCATTTATATCCTACTTACTTACTTACTTACTTACGTCACTTGCTCCCAATGGAGCATAGGCCTCCGACTAGCATTCTCCAACCAACTCTGTCATGGGCCTTCTTTTTCAATTCTATCCACTTGTTGTTCATCCTTCTCATATTTGTTTCCATTTCTCAAAGCAATGTGTTCTTCGGTCTTTCTCTTTTCCTTTGGCCTTGAAGATTCCAAGTGAAGGCTTGTGTTGTGACGTAATTTGGTGCTTTCTTCAATGTATGTCCTATCCACTTCCACCGCTTCTTCCTGAATATCTTTAAATGCTGAAATAAAATTAGTCAGTAGAAAATTACATAATTTTCTTTAAAATGCAATACACACTTATTATTTGAATGGAAAAAGGACCTGAAATGTCTAGATATTATACAATGATTAAGCACTGTAAACTGGTTAGTTACCTTATATAGTTTCAGCTTGTTACTTATCACATTTAAAAATATACTGAGTGTTGGATGTGTTCATCTTTTCTTACGTAATATTATTGAGTTTGCACGTACTGATGATTGACAGATAGTGTTTTTTTAGAATGAAGGTTTGTGGAAATTTTAGTGATTTAATGATTGAATTCATGTATCAGTCTAAGCTACACAATCACTGAAAGCTTAGAAATACTGGACGGTTGTTTCGTTCTAGTATGAGAATCCTCAACAGTGTACATCTACAATCCCACACTCAGGAGTCGAATCCAGGAACTTTGGTCCCGTATGCGAACGCTTAACCTCCAGATCGCTGAGCCGTCATCCTACGGTGTTAATGTCTAACTTTAACCAATCCAAAAATTGCACCACTGTTCATTATTATTTTCAGCGAATAACTACTTCATAACAGACACCGTTTGACTCCACTGGTCACGTCTACTCACTGGAACTCCAAGAAACACATCTTGAAGCCAGTCACTAATGAGCCCATGCTGATTATTATCAGAACGTGGTGTTGTGTAGATTGTAGTAATATTTTTATTTATTCCAACTCGGATTACATCCAAATAAGCTGTTTATTATTTTATCCCTCATTCTCGCTTCGGGTATCCTAAATCTTTATTCCCTAAGTTGTTTTAAACTTTTGAAACATTAACTTTGTCTAGTATTTACAAATCAGATGGGAAATTTCAAATATATTAGGCAATTGAAGCTGTTTGTCTGGAATCCTGTAATAACTTATGTTTTATGTTAACTGGAACCTTGAGTGAAATGGTGTTGTTTGCATGGTTTACAATCATGTTACCTAGCATTAAAGTTTGTGATGTAACTGTCGGTCTATTCAGCTGTTAACTATCATGTACTAACCAAAACAAAACATAACTCTAGGGTTTTCTGTCATTTACCTCTAACAACCTAATATCTTGGTCTTGGTCCAACTGGGATTTGATTGATAGAATTCGATCAACCGTAAGGATTAGATACAGATTACCACAGTTAACTCACATTGATCACTTAAACTAATTTTTTACACATATTTGACGGATAAAAAGAAATCAATCAGTCTGATTGGTTAAATTACAAGATCCTGTTTTCCCACTAATCATGTGCAACTGTTGTCATCCTAGTTTTTACGTGAAGTTAATCATGATCAAAAGTGATTTTCCAGTAAGATTCCTGATATTAACACTGAGTTTGAATCTCCAAGCATTAATAGTTTGGAATCAGGGTTTTTCAACTCTTCTACCCGAACCATCCGTATCCATCAACTCGGTTAAAGCTTCGGACATTCTCTTTTCGTTCTCTTAGTTTTGTAAACAACACATATGGTACAAGAAGGTAGTAAATAGGACTTCCCCGTCAGTGGCTGTAGGCGCATGATCATATGAGAGCATTCGGAGACGGAGAGCTGACCCTCCTCACTCACGTTAGTACCAGGACATTTACGGGTGATTATACGTATTGTACTACTTAAAGAATTATGATTCAAATCAATAAAATCCTATCAATCCAAACAAAGAAACTACATAGTATGATTGATTGATCATTTATTTATGACCTAAGCTTTAAAAAAGTAAGCTGATTTCAACAAGTTGAATGTAATTATCAATATAAGGATATAGATGATTTGACAATTTATTATTACACAATGTCAATTATTCATCTATACAGTATCATTCTCTTCAATTAACCTTTCATTTCCCGTTTTTCTCATATTTTTTTTCATGATTACAATACTATTGTTCAAGTGTTTATGTATGTGTGAGTGTGTTATCTTTTAATTATTACAATAATTTTAGAGAACGGAAATGTACTACATCTGTAAACTATTAGATTCATATGAAATGACCTTAAACCAACTGTCCAGTTCAATTGTCTGCGTATATACTGATCAGATTACATATTAGTTACTGAGAGACAACGTAACAGAGAGAGGAAGAGAGTGTGTGTATGTGTGTGTG